GAGAGAGAGAGAGGGGTGAAAGTGAGAGGGAACGGGAACGTCAGAGTTCATTTATTATTGTCCGGCCAATGTGGCGCGCAAAGCGCGGGAATTGTCGACAATGAAATCATAATTTGCGTCGCAATCCAGAGGCATCCTCGAATAAGCTGTTCTATGGTGCACACAGCGACGATCCATATAGAACAAATTTCGGGATAAGTTCAGGAGAAGCACGTACGTAGTAACGAACCGTTAATAAATGTCTCGAACAAACAAGTTCAAAACTAGGATCTGTACCAAAAACAAGACTTGCACAAACACATGATATCCGATTTCGCGATGAGTACAAGGTTCATTAGAATGATAATTTACTATATGCGAAACTTGAAACTACGAGAGTAATTCCACTCCGAATATTTTCATCACGCATCAAGTATTTCGTCTACTTACACGCTAATTGTATTTGTACATCGTTATAAAAAAAATGTAAAGAGGCAAAGCGCCTCTGAAAATTTTATCCTTGATTACTTTATGTTTTATGAACAACTTGGAGCGTTTATAAACGCAAAGAGTATAAAATAAACGCTCAAAGAACATTTATAAGGATGCCTGAAAAATGTCTTAATTTACTAGACGTTTTTCAGACGCCTTTTAGATGTTTTTCGACCTTGAGAGGCGCCAGGAATTCAAGTCGTCTAATATTACGCGGCTTCCCTCGCATTTTTCGACAGAAACAGTATCTCGCGTAAAAGTATTCTCTAAACCTGCAGGGCACGTCAAGATCATCTCAAGTGGCTGATGCATCTCTTATTCGCTCATGCTATGATATCATGATACAACGACGTGCGGGATGCTTTAGCACCACCTTTGACATCCCGTTCCGCTATGTCCTCGTAATAAAGTACTCTCCATGAACAGGCTGAATACACTTCGAAAAATATCATACTATATATATCACATCATTCAAGATATACTCGATGATATAACGAAAGAGATGATAAAGTAAACCTTTAAAAATATGAGTGACGCCTTTGCGACACATTCTTGTGTAATCGATTTATTATCAAATTGAAGCTTTTTCAAAGCATGGATAATACCGTTTAACATAACTTCTTTTATTGTGAGAAACAACATTATTTGTTGAGAAACAAAAATTCAGTTTTATAATTAAAACACATTTTTTTTCTTTAGAACAATATTAAAAATATTATGTCTAACGCTGAACAGCATTGCGTCTAATGCTAGAATTTTAAGATAATTAGTACAAATCAACGAATCATCATTAGTGTATTTGCGTCACGAAATAATCGATAAGATTAATCTCTCCGCAAAGTCTAATTTCATTGGCTATGTAATCAAGCCTGATTAACTATTTCCTACGATTATCACAAATTAGTCGATTAACTCTTGTACTGTTCTGTGGCACGAACATACGCGAGCCTTTATCAGATATATACTACTTTAAGCATCACCAATTATCCACGCGCATTTTACTAAACTCGTCATGGTCACGTAATTATATAATGAAATTAAAACAATTATTTTCATGCAACTAATTATTTGTGCCAATTGAAATCTTTTAATCTTTCTTATGTTTGTCTCAAACTGTCATACACAGAAAGAATTCCTTTGCGTATCACAAATAGCTTTTCCAATAATGTAAATTGTCATATATCGATAACTTTATCTAATTATTTATTATTAAAATATTAAATCGAAAAATTTTATTACTTTTTTTTAAAAGAATTTTACTTCAAAATGTGCATTACACCTAAAAGATCCTTAATTTTTGCATGGAAGGAAGTGACGCTTTTCTTTATCAGAAACTAAAAACACGTTTATGTCAAAATGATGAAAATTTATTGTGACATGCGTTGTGACAAGACGCATTTATGGATACATATTATTAATACTTTACCTAATATGCGGATTAATGTGATTAAATAATAAATGCATTGTTTGATGTACAAATATTTAATAATAACGCTGGTTAGAACGTCATGAAAACTACGACGGATGATTGTCAAAGCAACATACCAACAAATACCCACCTCTGGGACATACATGGCGCGATCACGGTGTAACAATAATTTGCGTGTTGTATGTAATACGATAGCATATCAATTGGAGAGATCATGTCACTTTGATTGGCGCATGTTGGGATATGCGCGAGCAGGTAAATTCTCCAATAAAACCACAATTAACGCACGATTGCCACGTACATCGTTATGAATGTCCATAAACCTGCGCAAGCGATAATATTAGATTGACCAATCGCGTGGATTTGTTTAAATAACAGTTTTGTTGTTTCGATTAGTTATTACGAAATAACAATCAAACAGTCATGTTACAACGGTGTAATGTAATTAATTTACAGTCTTTTGATATAATCCTAAATATATCAAACCGACAAAAATGAGCACAAAGGAAGCCATGATGTCGGTTGAAACGCGTATAAAATGGCGTCGTCGAGAGGCATATATTAATCTCATAATGGAATCTTTTTGCAGAAACAATAGCGTATCAGAAAATTACCATCGCGGCTAATACCGCGCTCAGTCCTTCCAGCCGTAGGTCTTATGAAGGGACACTCAGCCGCTTTTTCCCACGAACCGCTGCACTCTTTAACTTTCAGAGGATCGCGCCTGTTTTTCCAGTGCTCAGTCTTTGACATCAGAAATGGGCGGCTAGATCTGAGTGGACAGGAATGGGTATCCTAAGAGGATAAAACGGATGGCTTGCCGCGAATTGGATCACTCACTCTTTAAACATATCTTTGTGTCGGGGCGTTTCCACGAAATGCAAATGTATATTTTTATTTCGTAACCACTCGAGTGCGTATAAAACTTAATTCATCCCTTTGAGTTACGCTCCACTTACGGATATTCGTACATTAGACACATTCGCGACTGCTTTCGCTCTCCGGCTTATCCCTGAGCGAAGTGGAACAGTTATCTTTAAACTTTGTATTTTATCCAGCCGTATAGCTGGAATGGGAAAAGTGGAAGATTTTCCTTATCGCGTTTCTCGTTCACGTAGAACATATAAAATTATGTGGCAGAGTTTTTTAATATGATTGATTTTAAAACGGGCCGATAGCTTAATTATTTTAATTATTTTATTGAACATATAATAGTAAAAAAAAAACAATACAAAAATTCACCAAAATAATCAAAAATTTATTCGAAATGATTGCTTGGATACTATTTTTGGCCTATCTAATGTTTTTTCATATAATTTGAATACTTAAATTGAGTTTTGTTTGAAAATCTACCATTTTTTTAATTATTCTGCCATTAATAATTTATTAATCTTATGTGTCTATCAATTAGGATATATTATTGACTTTAGTAATCCTAGGGATAATCATGCTGTCAGTATCAGTTTGCCTTTGCCACATATCCTATGTACATATACTTGATTTACAACTATTGTGTGTGTATATATATATATATATATATATATATGTATGTATATACAATATTGCTGAACAAGGACGCAACACAGAACGTCTAAAGGAAATGTAATGTTATAAATATTTTGGGGGAGTTTGTAATGGCATAATGTCATCGTCTTCATAAATCAGACGCCGGAGATAAAATAAATACGTCTCTTATAAAGTGGCAATACATACAAGTTTTCTTTACGGTCCTTTGAGACATTTCAGAAGTATTCGAAGAGTCGAGCGCGCCCAGCGCTACGAAAACACAAACGCATCGGATACCACTCTTCCTTTCCAAGGAAGTTTCTGTCTTCCTTTCCAAAGAATTTTCAGCGTTCAATATTTGAGCGTTTCCTACATAGCTCGAGGATGTCCTTTCCATATACGCATTGGCGAATCTTCGCAAAACAACAAATACACAGGTACATCAGATATAGGTTTTATTGCGGCGGCTTTCATCTTATGTCTACATAATATTGGACATATTACGATGCTCGTCTTAAAAGTTACTTTTACAAAGATTTTGCCAAATTTTTTGTGACAATCTGATATTTCTTTCAAAATTAGAGGCTCGCAGGATCGTATATTACATTTTATGTGTAAATACAATTGCGCGTAGCGCAATAAACCCTTGCACGACGGTGTCTCTCAAGCGAGAGACGCCGTTGTATCCGATTTATTCATTATGTCTCTCGATTTATTCATGCAATTACCAGCGCGATCTAAAATAAAATAGAAATTGTAAGTTGTTCAGCGAATATAGATTTCTTTTTGTAAGGATAGATATTTTTTATGTTAATACATAAATATACGCAATATAATTCTCTAAATATTATTATAATTTAAGCAATATTTATGAAACGGAACGTATAATATCCATTCGTGCAGTCGAAATGCGATGATGAATAGTGATCCATCATCCTGTGAGAGTCGTTTACATGAAAAGGCAATGACCACAAATTTCAAATAGAAGCACTGCGATCGATCCCTCACTAACTGCGACAAATAACTGCAATCGGCATATCCATATATTCCCATATCGTTAGTCTCTTCACAAATGTTTTGGAAAATAAACATGTGATTGATGTATAAAATGTAATATCAGTTATCAATTTTTTTAAATACATATATTTTAAGTGCTCTACATTTTTTTTTAATTACAAATCTAATTTAAACGTGTTTATTTATTTTAATTAACATTACGTATAGTACATTATTAAAAACATTTTCAAATAACAGTATCTATGAAAAGTAAGGGAAAATTAAAAAATAAGGAAATATTTTTTGAAACGTAAGTATATCATAATCTTTCTATTTTATTTATTTCATACTCTTTGATCTAAGATAACTTGACACATATGCATAGGTCTTTTGATAAACAAGCTGGCAATACTATAAGCATGACCCACGTTAAAAAGCAGGTCGTGTCGCGTTGTTAGAGAAATACTCGAAGCTTTGAAATATGCGCGGCGTGTTCTGTTGTTCGTTTGCCCGACATGTGCCGAGTAGTGTCCTGAGGCCGATATCGATTTTCATCAATAGATAGTTCTATCTAGTCGGAAAAATCCACAAATTTAGTAACAAAAATATATCATTCTCTCCCCTTTTCTCAGGTAGTTATTCTTTTACAAAATAATTTGCCGACGAAATATCACAATTAATTCAGTTATCTTCAAACAGTTATGAAAAGAATAAAAATATTGCATATATCGAGACATCATATCTCGTAAAAATTAACAATAATTTTTTATAATGTATTGCAATTTTAAAGTAAAAAATACACGTATTACAATATTATAATAAAAATAACAAGCTTGTAATACGTATTTTATAATAGCAAGATATTTCTTTTATAAAAGTTACTGTAAGCGTAAGAAAGAAATTACAATATTAATATAGCACTTCCGGATGTTATAATAATCTTATTTTTCTTCTTTCTCTTATCTCTCTTTTATTCTAATTTTTATTAAATATATGTGCAATGTAAACCATATTATTTGCAATCCAAATATGTGCATAAGAACATACCTTCTGAGAGGCAAAGGATTCCAAGAATTCCAATGCTATAAAATATCTGAGTAACACACATGCGTTACTAGATGAACAACATATTTTCTACCTTTCTGTCTAACTTGTTTACGAACCTTTCGGTAAACTTCAACGAACCTCGCTTTGCTTGAACGTCACTTTGCGACGTGACAGCGGAAATTGCTATTTAAATTACTTTTTAATGGATACCTTACATTTATTATTTCACTTGCAAAAGATGATGCTTTTTTCAGTTTGACGTATTTCGATACGCTGTAAATCTAAGCAGTTTACACGCGTAAGGCTAACTAATAATTCCCGCTCGACTGACTTAAAAATCACTTGCAAAAATTTGATGTCTTGCAAAAATTATTAACACATTGTATTAATTATTCATCAAGTTGTAGTTGTAAAGAGTACAGCGCACAAAGACGAATGTGATTTATCACGGCAGTTTATCCATTTATTTTTATTCCCTATTAAGCATTTTTCGCAGCGTATCGATATCAGAAATTACGAGATTCGAGACAAGCACGTAATCATTGCTGATGAAATTCCTTTCTGTCGTAATCATTGCCGACGACGCACCGCAGGCATGCGTGTGTGTATGACTGGAGCAATTAAAAAAAAAAAAAATACACTTCTCTGTGTGAGAAATACGACGAATATCAAATCGATACAGTGACCCGCACTGCGCGCGCATCCGATAGTCACGCACACTTCATCTGCACTTAACGTATTGATAAATAGCAAAGTGCGGTGTGCGCAGTAAATTATCCGAGTTCGAGAAGTTATCGGTAAACGTCTGATAACGAGGCAGCCTCTCCGGGGATACGCTTGTTCTTTGCATATTAGGCGTGCATCAGCGAGCTCTTTCCATCCGCCAGAGCCATTTATCGTCGCTTCTTCTCGATCCTCATTACGTCCCACGATTCGCCCCACTTGCCATTTCTTTAATTGCAAATTTGCATCGCAGAAACTCATTACTTTCACATGGATTGTTGTATCTTGCTTCAATGAAGCACGCGCGGAAAAAAACATTTTCGATAATCAAAATGATTTCACATTGAAAGTATGAACTTAATTAATTTGAGATAAAAATGAAATTCATGAAGTATATATTCATTTTCCAATTTGGAGGAATTCTTTGAAATAATGTAAAATATGCATATAATTCAGTAAAATAGCAGTGAAATTTGAAAATCGAGCACATGAATTTTTTTATTGTTCATTGTTTGTTAATGGAAACAGGGAAAAATTATATATTCTATTTACGGCCAGCTGCAAAATTAATATTCATGAAAATATAAACGTAGTTATGGTCTATTACATATACTTGAAATATCACTATAAAATATAATCAACAGCTACTAACGGTATGCGAGTAGTGAAACGCAATTAAAAAACATAATTGCCAAACAAGAGGAAACGTAAATGTTTCCTTTTTCTTTTCTTCACATCGGTTTCTATACAATACAGCATTGCGGTAAAGTGAGTTCTTATTGTAGAATTTCAGCGATATTCTCAGCGCTTGCACGCCGTCGGCATAAATTAACGTGAACAGAGGGCAAACGAATCACCGGTGCCCAATTCTTGTAATTTATACCCCAAGCAATCCTTTGTGTACTCGTAATGCCGAGCCGCTTAATTCAGTGAAATACTCGGCTGTTCAAACAACAGCACCTCCGTATGCTCGCCCGCTTCTCTATTTATAAAGGCGGCGTGTACACAATGAAGCAAAGCGTCGCGCATTATCACAGAGGCAACGCCTAATGAGTCGTATGGTCCCAAGATAACGTTCGTCCATTCAACCGCACGGAAATATTTTTGGCGATTGCACGTGAACACTTGTAATTCTGATTATCGCATCCAGTAGATCGGGATCGCGGGATCGCCCGTGCACACAGGTTATAGCAGAGAACCGGTATGTCGTCCCTGTCATCGACGCGTCTATCGAATGTGCAGCGACGCGCGAGCCTATCGGCTGGCTTTTTGAGATGCAGATTTTACGCCTACGCTCGGATATTCCGTCGTGTTTTGCAATAAACGTGCATCGTGCACGCACCTGTGCGCTCGCAGGATCGGCCGAGCGTGCCGCAAATTTGCCGGTCAACGACGGTGACTGCGAATGAATGCATGTGCCCACTGGGTCGAGTCCATCGAACATAAATCCCCTATTTTAGCGATGAGAAAGAGAAGGGGGAGGGAAAAAAAAGAAGTGCCGTCCCAAAGAGCACGACGGAACAGCCAAAAACTTTTCCAATTAAAGTACTCGCTATCCGGAACGATCGGCGGGGATACAACACCGACCTGCCCAGTCTCATTAACGCTTTTCCAAGGTGGATACAGCGCAACGGCCGTAAAAAGGGGAGTAGGTGGATAAAGAGACCGGATCGGCCGGCTATTTTTCTTGGCTCCGACCATAACGTCCCGGTCGGAATGACAACACCGCTCCTCCGAGATAGGTAACGAACGTTTCGATTGCCGATCAGCGATCGGGGATCTCCGCCGGTGTATCGCGGAATCGGTACGGGGTTAAAGGAAGGGGACGAGCACAGACCACACTCCCAGGCCGGGCAATTTTATTCGAAATCGTCCGAGTGTTAAACTATGCCCGATTGAAAATCGATATTTCATTCCGGTCGAACTGCCGACATGCCGAGGGAATAGACCGGCAGATTTTATACATCGAGTGGACGGCGGCGCATGCCAGGGCTGCTGGCGCAAAAATTCTGATGCGCCAAATAGTTTCGCCGTCTGTCCGGGATGAACTGCGCTCAAGACGTGGCTCGGTACTTCCGTGTGGCCGCATATATGACGGGCTGAATACTTTCGACGGATAGTGGAATATTGACAATCAATAAAAACAAGAAGGGAGGATAAGTTAAGAGGTAAAATCGAGGAGCTGTAAAGGTGATATTATACCCGCTTAAAAATAATACGCCCGTATAAAAAATTATTATTTTATTTTCTAGGAGACTTGTTTGATTATAGTAACAGTCAAAATTTGCAATTGACTGCATCCTACTTGGATTACAATAAAGTTATGCACAAATTATAAACCGCATTACAGCGGTTTTAAATTTTTAATCCACTCTAATACTTATTAGAGTAAGTTCACGTACAGACTCACGCAGATGCAATCGAGTTAGGCATTCATAGTAAAATATTTGACAGCGAAAGCATGCAGCTCACTTTGTCAGCGTCGCGTTTGTAGTATCTAATGGCCGACCTTGTACATATCGCGAAGGTGCAGTAGACGGTCCTTTAGTGCAAGCACTAAAACGAAGTAATAAAACGTGTTACAACAGGAGCTGTTTCGCCGTTCTGCTCGGCGATAGTTAGCTTTCGCAAGATTTACAGCTTCTACGGAGAATGATTCTTCATTTTCTCGCGCCTCGAACTCTCGAATACTTCTCGTTTATCTCTAAGAAGATGAAGGATGAAGACGTACGGCGGAAGAGAGGAGATTTATGTTGATATTTAATGCCGGCAGCGTTGCAAGTATTCAAACAATAAGTAGTTTAAACATGTATCATTAAACGCTGTTACATTTTTATTTCTTTCAGCTCGAACGTGATTAAAAGAGCATTTTTTTAAATAAAGTTAGTATTCCAAGATCCTATTTATCTATATTGACAATGTCATACGTATTATACACAATTAAACTAAACGTTGAATGATCGATAACAAAGTAAATAAAAAATGTTTGAATAAAATAAAACGAATGATTCGTTTATTCCATGCTGCACAATTATTTATCT